CCATCGGGGATCCAGCTCGGTCAAAAACGGTGCTCAGGTCGTCGGCTACATGGGCGCACCTTTCGATGCGGCCTACGGCGACGAGATGCACACCGCGCCCCTGATGGTGACGGTGCGGAATCCGCGCGGCCGCGCCATGCTGGAGAACGCCATCGAGCGTGGCCGCGTGGAGCTGGTGCGCGAGGGTGGCCGCGGGGGCGCGGGGCTGCCCTCGGAGGGTGACCGGACGCAGGTCACGCTGAAGACTGTGGAGTCGGACTCGCTGGTGCGCTCGATCACGGAGGAGCAGGGGACACATATCCCGAGGAGAACAAGGAAGAGGTACCGCTGCCGCTACCCATGCCTTGCTTTTGCCTTTTTGGGTCTCCTGGGAAGCCCTCGTCGCCACCGCTAGATTTGCCTCGAAGTTCTGGTCAGGACGCACCCCGGGAGAGGTCCGGGCAGTAGCGGTGTAGGTACTTCTTGGTTTACCCATCGATTGCAAGTCGCGGAAGTTTCCACTCGTCTTGCGTTGAATGTGCAGCGCCCAGAAGCGCCCAGTAGCACCGAACAGCGCCTAACAGCGTCATGCGAGGGGGGTGCGTTGCGTTCGCTTTGCCCGCTATTGGACGCGCTGTTGGGCGCCATCGGGACTTGCGAAAGTTACAATCCTCGAGAACATTAACCTCAACCATATTCTGGCTCTGAGCGAGACTGCGTGCGAAGTACTCGCTGGCGCCCCCCTGTCCAACGTCCGTCACGGGGGAACTTCCGAGCTCCCATGGCCCAGTCCGCGCTTCGCTCTGCTTCGACACTGAAGGAGGGCGGAAGAGGGCGATACGGAACGGGCGCGCCAACCGTTTCTTCCCCTTGCCTTAGGGAGGGGTTCCCGCTCAGTGCCCCCTCCCTGGAGGGTCTGGGGGGGGTACCCTTCCGAACTCCGCCCGCCGTCGGCGCACCGGGACGGCAGAGCTCGGCCGAAGCCTGCAGAGGTCGGCGGCAGTGTCACGCCGTTGGCCAGAGCCCGGTCGGCACGGTGGCCGGCAGGGCGCCCAAAAGCGGCCCAGGCAGGCCCAGCATGGCGCGCAAAACGCTTCCGAGAAGCCCACGGCCCAGACCCCCTCGAGCCATGAAAAAATCATGACGGGAGGTCTTTACAGTTTTCGGCTTTTGGGAGCCCTTACCAGGCCTCGGAGCCGTCAAAAAACGACGCAGGATGAAGAACCGGCCCCGGTCGAGACCTCTGGGGGTCGACGTCATGAACAAATCATGACGTCGGGGGTCTGGGGACGGGTCCAAGGCAGCCCAGCACGGCCTCAAGATAGTTCCAGAAGCCTCCAAGCTGGCGCAATAGGGCTACAAGAGGTCCACAAGGAAACCCTCGAATCCCCAAATCCATTGATTCCTGTGGTTTTCAATTGACTTTTGCCTTCTCCCCTTTTCGAGCGTCTGGCCGCCCACGACGCCTCGCAGGCCTCCAAGATGGCCCATATTCAGTCTAAGACACCCGTCGAAGGGCCTCAAGACGGCCCGAGCGGGCCCCAGGATGGCTCAAGAGGCCCTCAAGACAACCCGACGAATGTCGAAGGTACCCCCAAGACGGCCGCAGAGGGCCCCAAGAGGTCCTCAAGACGGCCCAGGGACGCCCCCCAGACGGCTTCCGAAGGTGGACAGACGGTTTGAGGGCGCCCTGAGAAGGCCCGAGGGACCCGCTCAGGGGCCCCACCCAGACGTCCCTAAGGGGCCCCCAAGAGACCCCCAAAGCTTCCCGTTTGTGCTCTGCGCTTTCTGGACGTGGCCCCGGCGGAGTGAGAGGGATCCCCAAGGGACCGCCCACGGAGTACACGAGCCTCCAAGATGCCTCAAGAGTCTCCCAGGAAAGATGCACGAAGCTATCAATCTGTTTTTTCTGTTGTTCGTCGGTCGTTTTGCTGGTTTGAGGGAGTTTCTTTGGAACTCACGTCATCCTCACCCCCGGCGCGAAGAGCACGAGCCCAGAGCGGCCTCCGGCACCGTTTCCGGACGGATCCGGTGGATCCGCTGGATCCGCTGGATCCGGTGACGAATCCCAAACTGGCGCCCTCGCCTAAGACATCCTCACAAAACGGGCCCCGGGGGGGATGGAGCCCAGAGCGGCCTCCGGCACCGTTTCCGGACGGATCCGGTGGATCCGCTGGATCCGCTGGATCCGGTGACGAATCCCAAACCGGCGCCCTCGCCTGAGACATCCTCACAAAACGGGCCCCGGGGGGGATGCCCAGAGGAGCCCAGAGCGGCCTCCGGCACCGTTTCCGGACGGATCCGCTGGATCCGCTGGATCCGCTGGATCCGGTGACGAATCCCAAACCGGCGCCCTCGCCTGAGACATCCTCACAAAACGGGCCCCGGGGGGGATGCCCAGAGGAGCCCAGAGCGGCCTCCGGCACCGTTTCCGGACGGATCCGCTGGATCCGCTGGATCCGGTGACGAATCCCAAACCGGCGCCCTCGCCTGAGACATCCTCACAAAACGGGCCCCGGGGGGGATGCCCAGAGGAGCCCAGAGCGGCCTCCGGCACCGTTTCCGGACGGATCCGCTGGATCCGCTGGATCCGGTGACGAATCCCAAACCGGCGCCCTCGCCTGAGACATCCTCACAAAACGGGCCCCGGGGGGGATGCCCAGAGGAGCCCAGAGCGGCCTCCGGCACCGTTTCCGGACGGATCCGGTGGATCCGCTGGATCCGCTGGATCCGGTCACGAATCCCAAACCGGCGCCCTCGCCTGAGACATCCTCACAAAACGGGCCCCGGGGGGGATGCCCAGAGGAGCCCAGAGCGGCCTCCGGCACCGTTTCCGGACGGATCCGCTGGATCCGCTGGATCCGGTGACGAATCCCAAACCGGCGCCCTCGCCTGAGACATCCTCACAAAACGGGCCCCGGGGGGGATGCCCAGAGGAGCCCAGAGCGGCCTCCGGCACCGTTTCCGGACGGATCCGCTGGATCCGCTGGATCCGGTGACGAATCCCAAACCGGCGCCCTCGCCTGAGACATCCTCACAAAACGGGCCCCGGGGGGGATGCCCAGAGGAGCCCAGAGCGGCCTCCGGCACCGTTTCCGGACGGATCCGCTGGATCCGCTGGATCCGGTGACGAATCCCAAACCGGCGCCCTCGCCTGAGACATCCTCACAAAACGGGCCCCGGGGGGGATGCCCAGAGGAGCCCAGAGCGGCCTCCGGCACCGTTTCCGGACGGACGACCTGACTGCATAACACGCCTGGATATGCCGACGGGGGCGAAGGAGGAGGAGGAGGAGGAGGAGGAGGAGGAGGAGGAGGAGGAGGAGGAGGAGGAGGAGGAGGAGGAGGGGGAGGGGGCAGGCGAGGGAGCCCCGGCCCTGGGGGAGGGGCCCTGAGGGAGCCCTGATGGGCTTCCGGCACCATGGAGAGGTCCTGTGGGGCGGCCGCCCCTTCTTCTCTCGGTCGTTTCCCTCTCGCCCAGAAGCGCGCGCCCCTTCTTCTATATCTACAGAAACTCCCGATCAACCGCAGAGCGGCGGATGTTAGTCACTCACGTCTGCGGTGACCAGAGCCTCGAGGATCAAAACGGCCCAGACAAGCCAGCCGGACGGCCTCCGAAGGTTCCAGGGCCCAAAAGCGCGGCGCTAGGGCAGCCCAAGAGGCCCCCTAAGCGGTCCCGAGGACTCCCCAATCGCGCCTCGGCAACCGACGCCCTTCGTGTCACAGTCGGCAGCCGACGCCCTTCGTGTCACAGTCAGCTGCCGAACTGCCATTCGAATACAAACTGCCCCTCCCCCCAGTCCTATTCATTGCCGGCCCCGCCAGCGAACACCAGGAGGCGTACCAGCCGGCGGACGCGGGCGCCCCCGAGTGGCTCGGGAACATCCTGGCCTCCCTCGTCGCGCTGGCGCTCCCCAAGGGGCTGGAGTTCGCCCGCTTCTCCATCTCGGAGAAGGGAAAACCGCATACACAGGAGGCCCGTGCCAAGAAACACCCTGCTTGCCTCCAGGGTGCCCTGGGTTTCTTGGCGTTCGATGGTTTTGCGATGGAAAGACTGACGTCCCCACTCCAAAAAAGAATGAACGTCCTGGGGTCTCAGGGTTGGGTTTCTTGTGGAAGATTTCTTGTGGTCGGGCCCCACTGTAGACATGAACTTTCCAAGGTCTGAGCTGTTTTCTGGATCTGCGCAGGACCCCCTTGGCGGCGCCTCCGGCACCGCTCCTGGCGCGCTCCGCGCGCCAGGGATGAGGGTGGGCCCAGCGCCGATGCAAGACATCCGCGCAGACCTCCGACAGTCTGTGTCCATGCGGCTCTCCCTTCTGCCGATGTCGACTACCACTTCCTGCGCAACCAGATCTTCGTGGAGGACCGTCTTGGTGGCGACGGCGCGCGGCGCCATGTGCCCGCCTTTGCGGCCGCACTGCAGCGCCGGTACGAGGGCGGTATGGCCGCGCTCCGAGAGCGTTGGGCAGCAAAACGCATCGCTGTTCTCTGCGTCGGCGGCGGCTTTGGCAGTAGCGCCATCGCTACGATGCTGGAAGAGTGTCCGTATCCACCGCCTGGAAAAACCGATCTCCCTGGACCTCGGCAGGCGCTGGATGTGGACATATTCGGGGCCCATGGGGGCCCAAGCTTGTATGCACCGCTCCCTGGGGTCCCAAGGTAGCGGTTCCCCAGGTGCTGGGTATTTGCACCCCCCCGCCTTGCGTATCGGTTACAACGCCCATCGTCGGCATCGTCGTCACCAGCCGCGTTCGCCGAGCTGATGCCGACTTCGCTTCGTTGGTTCTGGTTCTGTTACGCCCCTGCTGATCCGTGATCGTCGCCCGCGGTCGGCCAGAGGGCGATAGGTCAGCCCAAGCAGGACTCAGCCAGAGCGCACGGGCGCGCTGGACCCCTATCACCGTAGGAGGCACCGCCACAAGCAGTGCTTCCCACTGTTGGCAAAGCCACGATCGTAAAGATACTACGAAAAAAACGCAATGCGGATACCAGGACATCATCTCGCATGCAGTATGCACTAGCAGCGAAGGGCTCAAGCCCGTCCCCCAGCATGCCCAGCCGTGCCGCCTCCGTGATGTGTTCCTGAGGCCACCTTGCGCGGACAGCCCACAGCGCCGCGTGCCCGCTCGTTGCCTCGCCTGCTCGCAGGCTCCGCTGCGGTGCTCTTCCCGCTCGCCTGCCAGAGCTTCCGCCGCGCCCCTGGCGCGGGCCCGCGCTGCTCTCGCGCATGCGTGCGTTGCTGGCGGTCCTCGTCGCCGTCCCGCCGCCCGCGCGCGCCGGCCGCGGCGCCTGTGCGGAAACGCAGGGCCGAGGCGCGGCGCCCGGCGTCGCGCTGCTGCAGCTGCCGCTGCCGCCGCTCGGGCGCGCGCCCGCGGACCCGGCCTGGAGGCCTGCGCCCACCGCGCCCGGGGAGGCGGCCGCGGTGGCCGCGGCGCCCTGGGGCGGGGTGGCGCCGGCGCTGCTGCTCCGCTGGGGGCGCGCCCGCGCCTCGCTCGGCCATGCCGCCGGGGCCGGCGCCCAGCTCGTGTGCGCGGTGCGGGGCGGTGCCAGCGGCACTCGGGCCAGCGCCAAGAGCAGCGGCGCGGGCGGCGGCGCGGGCCCAGAGGCGGCCGCGGCGGGCGCGGCGGCGGGGGGGGCCGCAGAGCCTTGCCTCCTGGGCCTGACGAAGTTCGGCTGGGCGGCGGTCTGTGCGGTCGTCGGTATGGGCGGCGTGCTGGCGTGCATCCCCCTCGTGCTGTGGTTCTCGAGGCGGCGGCCGGCGGGCCAGTCGGTGCTCGACGACTTCTGCTGCCGAGAGCCCGCCAAGCCGTACGGGCATGGGCCCCCTCTGGATGTGCCATCACTGGTCGCGACCGAGCGGCTCGTGTTCCAGCAATCTGTGGCGGTGCCGACAAGGGGGTGGCGCGAGAGGAGGCGGGGGAGCCTGTAAGAAGGCAGCGGGCTTCTCAGAAGCTCCCTCAGCTTCCGAGACGCCCTCTCGCAAGCCCCTGGGGCCCGTCGAGAAGGTCCCTGCCTCCTGAGAAGCCCCCCGCCTTCTTGGAAGGCAGCCCCCCTTGCACGACTCCCCTGCGGGCGCCGCCCAAATCGCCCGGCCAGCAGTCCAGCTCCCCGTCCCCGGCCTTCCCGCAGAGGGCCTCCGCCTGAGGCGGCGTGGCGCCCGCCGCCTGCGGCCCCGCGGCCGCGGCCGGCGGCGCTCGCCCTCTCGCGCAGGGCCGACGTGCACGAGGTCGAGCACCCGACTCGACGCGCATCGGAGAGGCTCAATGCATACCCAGACCCCCTCGAGCAATCAAAAAATCACGACGGGAGATTTTTCGCCATTCTCGGTCCCTGGGGGCCCTTACCGGGCCTCGGAACCCTCAAAAGACGACTCAGGACGAGAAACGGGTCCCGGGGAATGGGCCGGGACCTCGGGGGGTCGACGCAACGAAAAAATCATGACGTCGGGGGTCTGGGTACACCAAGTTGCTTGGTCGGCCAAGGCGCCGATGAGCTCGGCGAGGGGGCTCTCTAGGAGGCGTTCGCCTTCCGTCGGGCGCCGCGTGGTGCTCGGGCGGTAAAGGGGGAGGGGGCAAGAGAGGTGCGCCATGCCTCGCGCCCTCGTGGCCCCAAACGGGGCCCCTTTGGGGTCCAAAAGGTGCACCATAAAGGTGCGCGTCACTTTGCCCCCCCCCCCCCCCCCCCTTCTCCCGTTCCTCGTCCCCCCCCTTCAGCAACGCTCCGTTCTGGTCCTGGTCCTCCCGCCTCCCCATCGCCCCTGGCTGTGCCCGAATATTTGGACGGCCTGGCCCGCGCTGGGGCGAGGCTGCCTCCCGCCACAGCTGGCGAAGCCCAGCTGAAAAGTACAGACATATCCGTAAGGGCTTCGCCCCCATGCCGCCGGCCCCCCTCTCTTACAATGGGACTTGCCAGAGCTGTGTTGGGATGTCTGGACGCTGACGTGAAGCAATGTCGGGACTTCACGCGAGGGCCAATCTTAATGTACGAGGGTTTATTGCTTCGGTGGCGCGAATACTAGGGAATGTACGATGGCTTATGGCTTCGTGGACGCGACTATTGCGCAATTTACGATGATTTTGAGCTCGGGGACGCAACCATTGCATAAGTTACGATGGTATATGGCCTCGGGGGCGCAACGATTGTATACTTTACGGAGGTTTATGGCCTCGGGGATGCGAATCTTGTATAATCTGCTTGTGGCCTCGGGGATGCAAGCATGGTGTATTTTCCAATGGATTATAGCCCTGGGGACGCGAATATTGCATAAGTGTCAAAGGTTTATGGCTTCGGGGGCGCGAATATTCAGTAGTTTTCCAAGGTGTATGGCTTCGGGGGCGCGAACATTGTATACTTTACGAGGGTGTACGGCTCCGGGGGCGCGAACATTGTATAATTTACGAGGGATTCTGGCTTCGTGGATGCAAATATTCTATGATTCACCACGGTTTATGGCCTCGGGGACGCGAATATGGTGTAATGTAAACGGGATAATGGCCTCGTGGACGCGAATATCAAGTATTTTGAAATGTCCCACGACCCCCCAGGAATGCAGACCATGCGATTCGGGGACGCTAGCCAGGACGCTTTTCGGCCCCCCTCCATCGCGCGTTCATCAACAATCAACAGTAAGGAAGCAGAAAGCAGGACTGTAATAGTGGAAACTGGAAGCTGCAACTGGTACTGGGAACTGCACGCCTAATCTTCGCAGCCTGATGGCCCCGCAAGGGGGCTGGCGGATAATCCAGCAGCGAATGGGGCCAGCATCGCTGACCAACATGGCCACTTCCAGAAATGGTTTCGTCTTCGAGGGGTCGAGAAGTTGACATCACTTCTTCTGCGGGAGGCGGCGGAAGTCTGGTCGAAGGCTGGTGGATGACTTCGGATGTAAAACGAGGGCGGCTTCGCCGTCGGAAGCTGGCGGCAGGTCCGCGGAAGCTGGCGGAAGTAAAAATCAGTCGTCCAGAGATGGAACCAGAAATTTGATCCAGGGTTTCCGGAGTCGGCCACGTCCCTCCGCGAAGTCTAACGAAAGGTTTCCCCGCGGAGGGCGATGGGGTTCGGAGGAAGCCAGCGGAATATTTCGAAGCGTTCTTGGGTAGGTACATTCTTCGAGTGGCGGCGGGTCTGCTTGGGCGACTATGAGCCATGACAAAAACGTTGATACAATTGGATCCCAGTTCGTGTGTGCGTGAGTCATGTGGATCCTTCGTCAGTGTTCAATGTTTTGGCGTGGATGCCTCGTAGATCCAATGTGATATCCAGCTGCCTGTGGCAAATCCAGTGACGATCCGGAGAGTCCAGACGAAGATGTCCGCGTTGAGGCGTGGAAGAATGCCAAGAGCTGTCTGGTAGGGCTTATGTATTCTAATAGGGAAGCTTCTATTTGCATGCGTCGCCACTCCTCCCGAGCGAGGCCACGATCCGTCGTAAAAGCAATGCACCTGCGCTCCCCATGCCACGATCCTTCGTAAAACGAGATGGGTAATGGACATGCGTCCCGAGCTTCCAAGACGGCCCATGCAGGCAACCAAGGGCACCAAGATAGCCCTAGATGCCTCGAAGACGGCCGAAGGCGGCCCCAAGGTGGCCCAACATGGCCTGAAGAGGGCCCAGGATGCCTCCAAGAGGGCCCAAGTTGCCTCCAAAAGGGCCCAAGAGAGCCACAAGAGGACCTCCAACAGGGTGCGAAGTCGCCCAATTCATGGATTTCCAACACTGTCCGAGACATTAGGCGTGCCACCAGGCGAAGCGGACTGGCGACGCACAAGTGTGGTGTACTCGAGATCAACTGAAAGAACACACGGGTACTCCCAAACCGCCGGAAGGCAACCGTGGGTGTACACCCAAAACCAGACAAACCAAAACTGAAGGCCGCCCCCTTGGCGCCACCCCAGTGTGCGTGCCGCCCAGAGATTGCGCTTCCAGCATACCCCGCCGTGGTGCGGGTGAGTACTGCCAAGCCTGACAGGGATGACACCCATCCCCGCTTAGGAGGGGTAGGGTCGGCCGGTGGGGCCAAGGTTTCCCCGGTGGAGGTGAGGATGCCTCTACCCTTCCAGAGTTTTGAGGAGCGCAGCGGAGCGATGTCCGCCTGAGCCTCAGCCGATTCGCGCACTTGATAAGGGGGCCGCATCCATGTTAGCCTGCGCCTCCAAGAGTCACTCTCGGGGGCGTCTTGGTCCCTCTAGTTTCGACCTGCCTGGGGGTGTCCAGGGCTGTCGGGACCAGGTCCTTAGGCCATCTTGTGGGTCATGGTTGCCGGCTCGGAGCGGTTTTGACTCGTCCTCGGGGCCGTCTTGAGGGTCTTTGGGCCACATGTTGGTCCGTATTGTGGGGTATTGGGCGCTCCAATCTCTGGCGCGATGCGCCGACAAACCGAGGTTGAAGCCCTCGTCGGAGGGGGGACCCCCCCCCGCCCGTGCAGAAGCGCAGAGCATCTGGTTCAAAGCTCCACCGGGCCTGCTGCACGCGCGCGCCGTGCTGCGAGCCTGGCGCCGGACGGGGGTGCTGAGCAGCAGTGAGGCGGCAGCCTCTGCCCCCCTCCCGGGGCGAGGTTCGCTTTCCTTTCAGAGGCGACGATAGGGGCGAATAGCCCAGGGGAGAGCAATACATGTGTTCCGGTGCGCCGATGATCTATGTCTTCGAACAGGCTCCCGGCTGAATACGTGTAATGCCCGCCCCTGGGCTATTCGCCCCTATCGCCGCCTCCGACCCTTTCCCTCTTCGATGTCTCCTCGCAGGGCCTGACTGGGCGGGGCGGGGCGGTGGCAGCAGCGCGGCGCTCTCTGGCCCGCGGCGGTGCCGCAGGAGTGCTACGTCCAGGGGCACGAGTACCCGGAGGCGGTCGGCTCTCTCCGACCTTGGGTCCCGTGGCGGGGAGGAACGGGTCGAGGGTGGCGTCGGGGGAGGACAGAGCCGCGGGGCTGGGGCGGGGCCAGTCCCTTCTCACCTCCTCCTCCTCCTCCTCCTCCTCCGCCTCCTCCTCTTTTCTTTCCGCCTCCTCCTCCGCCTCCTCCGCCTCCTTCTCCGCCTCCTCCTCCTTTCTCTCTGCTTCTGTGGTGTGCCTCTGCTGCCAGCAGTCTGCAGCGCCTCGTCCATGACAGCCGCTAGCACATTCAAATGATCACTTTGATTCACCGTCGACCCTTGACGCGACCGTGAGACGTGGCCGTGAGCCTGCTGCTCGAGCGACAGGATGACAGCCTCAGCGGAGGAGTCCTGGACGCTCTGGGGTGCTGCTTTCAGTCGACAGCGCCTTCAACGGGCCCAAACAGATGAGGATACCCATGCGACAACTGGCAATCTGCATATCAACACGACGATGATGATCACGACTGGCCCCCATTGTGATCCATCCGCTTTTTGATGGGACTCGTGACTGACGAGTCCACGACGCAGGCTGGAGGCGGTACAACCGGCTGAGGAGCCGGCGTTCTTCGTACATTCCATCCAGTTGCTTTGAGAGGTTGTTGGCGTGAAGAGAAAGAGCGCGGGGCCAGTCGCGGGCCAGTGCAGAGCCTTTTTGTTTGCTGCTGTTGTGTTTTGGTTTTTGTTGCTTAAGCTATCCTCGAAGACGGGGTCCATTGGAGTGTCGATGACTGCAAGTATGGTCCGGAAGGAGCCTGGGCGAGGGCACGAGAGATCCAGGTGTGGGCGCACGCGATGCCCGACGAGGCGCCGACGAGGTCGTGACGAGGTCCGTACGCCCGCCTGGCTCTGTCCCTGCGACCTGGGTAAAGCCCCCGGACGCTCAGAGGAGGAAAAGGTACCCATACCGCTGCCCTTCTCTCGCTTTCCCCTGTTCTGGGCCGCCTGGGAGGCCCTCGTCGCCACCGCTGGATTCCCCTCGAAACTCTTGTCAGAACGCACCCCAGGAGAGGTCCGGGGAGTAGCGGTATCGGTACATTTTGGTTTCCCCAGACGCGGCCATGGATTTGGGCCCAGGTAAGAAGTAGCCGGCGAGTCCTCCACGGCGGATGGCCATCACCAGCCCGCCCCGAGACAGAACAAGGACAGCACTTGCGACGAGGGCTGTGGTGAGTGTTGGCCCACCTGCTCTTCTGTTTGCTTGACTCTCGCCTGTGCGACGAGTCCCCGTCGGGTTGCGCTTCCGTGGTGGAGGTGCGTCTCTCGCCCTTGCGTCTCGTGCTGTGGGTGATCGCTCACGAGGGGGTGGCGCGCACGAGGGGGTGGCGCGAGGTTCTGGCCTTCTAAGAAAGCGGGGGGGGGTGTTCAAAGAAGACGTGAGGCTTCTCGGAAGCACTCCCGGCTCCTCAGAAGCATCCTGATATGGGCGTCGTACCGACATGCTGATAGTAAGTGTTCGTCGCCCCCCCCCAGGGGCGACGCGCGCGCCGAAAAATCTTGCAGTATAAGTTCCGTGGCGGGCGTTTCCTGGCCGTAACGCTCGGGAGACGAGATATTATAAGATGGTTGTACCATATGATCGGGTCTGGTACCCCTTCGAGGAGGACACATCGCACTAGTATGTCAGTATGTCCTTGTGCGTCCCATGACAAGCCAACAGGCCCTTCTGAGAAGCTTCCTACCTTCATCCGTCGCCGCGCCATCTGTTCCGACGCGCAGCCTTACGTCTTGGGGGGGGGGCGCCTCGGCCACCAGGGCAAACTCCGCCGCGGACGTGGCAGGTTTGCCGTGGGGTTTGCCGCGGTGCCAGCGTCGTCCACTTTGGCGCGGGGCGCAAGTCGGGTGTTGCTGGAAGTGCCCCTGGCCCAAGGTGCCCCCAGAAATTTCCGAGGAGGACCCCGCGACTTGCAGAGCACCCCCCACGGGGTACAGGAGGCCCGATGGGGCTCCAGGATGGAGCGACAAGCTGGGGGCACCCGAGGCCAGGGGCACCTTCAGCAACCCCCGAGCAAGGCCTGCCGTGGGGTTCTGCCGTGGTGTCGGGGTCGCCCACTTGGGCGCGCCGAGGACAAACGGCGCGGCGACAGTCTGCCTTCCGAGGAGCCCCTCCGCCCTCTTAGAGGGCCGCCACCCTCGCGCCTTGAAGTGCGCGCCGACAGCACTGGTGGCAAGGGCCACTTCCATTCCTCTCGTCCCTCGTCGCTCCCCCTCCCCCTCCCCCCCTCCCCTTCTCTCGTCTCCTTCCCTCTTCCCCCTCCCCTCGTCGCTCCCCTGCCGACAGAGCACGCTTCTGTCAGGAGTGAGCTTTGCTGAGGAGCTCTGTAGGTTGTTTGTTTGCTTGTGTGTGTGTGTGTGCTCTCTCTTCGGAGGGCGGGCAATTCTCGGCACATCTTCGCGCACTTGGGGGCCAGATCCCAAGGAGAAGGAGGAGGAGGAGGAGGAGGAGCAGGAGGAGGAGGAGGAGGAGGAGGAGATTAATGAGGAGGAGCAGGAGGAGGAAGAGCGGGAGGAGGAGGAGGAGGAGGAGGAGGAGGTGGAGTAAGAGGACGAGGAGTTGGAGAAAGGAGGAGAGACAAGAGAGGAAGAAAGAAGACTGCCAAGCTCTGTTTTTTTTTGTTGGTTTCTCTCTCTCTCTCTCTCTCTCGGAGGGCCAGGCCTCTCTCCTCGACGGCCGAAGCCGTTCAGCGCCGCTCCCCTCCGTGCCCTCCCTGTCGCCCCTCCTGCATCCCCCCCCCCTGCCTCCCTTCGGCGGCGAGCCCAGCGAGGCAGCGAGAGGGGGCGTGCTCTGTCGGGAGGCTCGGAAGGCCTCGGGCCTTCCGAGAAGTTTTGCTCGGCGCCAGCGCCGAAGACGCAGGCACTGCCTCAGAGGGCGCGAGGGCTTCTGAGAAGCACCGCCGCCTCCAGAGAGTGCCTGCCCCCCCCCCCAACTTCCTCCCCCGGGCGCGCCTCGGGTCCCCTCCCTCCTTCCCTCCTCCCCTCTGGCCGGGGGCACGCCGCCTGACCACCGCGCCGACCCGGACGCCCGGGCGATCCCGGGCCCGGGATCGGGGAGACGGCGCCCCAGCCGAAGTTGGCCGAAGCCAGGGCGGCGTGTACCGAGCAGTGGCGAAGCGTCCTTGCTCGCCTATACGTAGAGGCCCACCAAACAGTGAAACTGGAACTGGAACTGGGGGCCTTAGAGGCGAGGAGCAACAAGAGGGGGGAAAGCTCTCTCTTCCAAACCCGCGGAGGGGCCTCGAGGGGGTCCAGGGGCCCGGCAGGCCGAAAGGCTCCACATTGGCCGACGCCCGAGCAACGTTCTAATAATCTTGTGTGGTGTGCGCGAAATGCTCTCAGAACATTTCTGGCTGGGACTGTCTCGTTTCGATGCATCGGGCTTATGTTCTGAGAGCATTGTCTTTGGTCCTGAGAGCGTTTTTGGGCTCGAGGAACAACATGTCGTGGTAGGCCTATAGGATGGCCGGGACGGTCGGTCCCTGCTCAAGTCGGGGCTCAAGAGACGGGTGTCAATGCAAACGGGGGTCAGCCAGAGCGCTGATCCTGCAGGGCCAGGGCTGCATTGACCCGGGCATGGGTGCAGGATCCTGCAGGATCTTGCAGGATTCTTCACATTGACCCGGGTTTGGGCGCAGGATCTTGCAGGATTTTGCAACGCTTGATTGACCCGGGTCTGGATTGAACCGGGTTAGAAGTTCCCCGATCAAATGTAAGCCGATCTGGGGGCCAGGATCGGCTCGCCCGACCAGGCTCGGTGGCGTGGTCAGTTGGCCGCCCCCCGCTCGTTGCCTTTTTTTTTACTCTCTCTCTCTCTCTTTCCTCCGCCCCCTCTTCCCGGGCCGACCGCGCCGGGGGGGAGGCTTCCTGGCCACCCTCGTGGGCGAAGCGGCGGCCCCTCCCGCCACCAGAGGTGGGCCGACAAAATCATACTTTTTTTGCATGCCCAAACGTTTTCATTTGCGGAGCGACCGAATGAGCGGCCGAACGACCCCTGCAGCGGGACACTCTGGCAACACGGTTGGCCGCCACAAACAATCCTCGAATTCACGCGGACCGCGCGAAGGCGCCCCCGCAAACGCGCAGTGTGGCACCTGTAGCCCCGCGCCCGGACACGCGGCGTCCGAGTTGTTGCGCCCTCTCCTGCCCCCTCTCCCTCTGCGAGGCGGCGGAGGCCGGCTGGATGATTGGCGACAAGATCCTCAGAATCAACGGCAAGGACGTGAACAGTCAGAGGCGCCAGTCCGGCCCCGCCTTGCTCGCCACTGGGCCACGCGTGGGGGCAGTACGGCTGTCCCGCGGCAGCCGATGCCTCAGATCAGACCTCGGCCCTCTGAACGGGTATTGGGGACATCGGCCGCCTTGGGGCTCCGAGGCCCCCGGGGGCCGTCACAGAGCGACTCTGGAGGGGCGGCGTGTCCCAGAGAGGGCCTGGGAGCCTGAGGTCTGAGGCCCGTTTCTCTCGGGATCCCTCCGTGTCGAACCCTCACGCAGGTTGCGCCGGGACTTTCGCCGCTTGCAAAAGGGTCCGCGCCGCGTGTGCGCGGCCGCGACCCACGACGGTCGTTGGGAAGGTTGAGCACCAGCGGCGGCTCGGAATCGGCCGGCATGGAACGATCCGAGGTGTCGCGAAGCCGCGATCTCTCAAGGTTGGACGGTCCACGCGGTGTCGGGAACTTGCGCGCATGTCGCGACACGAATCTGCCGCAGGGTTTTTTGTGCTGTGTGGAATGTGTGCTCTCTGGGGGTTTCATTGCGCGGGGTCTTTGCTAAGTAGATGCTGTGATGTGTGTGGGCTTCCGTTCTGCGTGGGTTAGGCTGTGCTCAGAAACACTCAATCCCCTGGTACCGCGTAATCCTTCCAAACCGACCCGTTGGAAATAATGCAATCCACACGGTGCAATTGGATTACAGTACACTGCGCAACTCTCGTTGCGCTACACGGCTCTCGGACACAACATAGGCTTGCCCACCCTGCATTCAGGGTAGCCTGTTGGAAGCAGCGCCCCCCCCCACACTTTGACCCTGCAGCACAAGCCCCCTCGAATCACAACGAACGCTTTTCAGAAACATCACAACCCGAATGTTGCACAATCATAAAGCTCACAATCCCTACTCCGCTGCATAACGCTCTGTACTTGGCCGTCTGGATGTTCATTTCTATTGGCCGAACCTTACAACATTTGCGTTGCTGTCCTTCTTAAAGGTGGGTGACCTGTGTTGTTTTCATTGCTTTCCAGGCTGATTTGTTTCTGGGGGGGCATGCTCGTGTGCCACTCTGTTGTCTCATAGTTGTGTGCCCCTCATGAGGGTCTCCATTTCCGCATCTGCGTTCGTTTTCGCGTGTGCATTCGATTACTTCCTCCCGTCTCCGTTCTTCTCTCGACCTTTGTATCCGTCTCTGTGTATCGGTCTCGTCTCTCACTGTACACTTTATTGTATGTGTATACGCATATCTACATGTATGTAGACCGCATGCGTGTTCTGGGTACCGTCGTATATGTACTATCTAGTTCTTGCACATATAAACATATACTGATATCGACGAACATACTCGCATATATATATATATATGTATACATGTATAATTGTATGCGTGTATATAGATAGAGAGACCGCTTTGCCTAACCTTCGTTATAGTTGCCTCTCCGCTTGTCTCCCTGTCACTCGCTCGGTCTATCTCGCCGTTTCCTGGTCTGTTTGTTTCTCCGTCTCTGACTCCTTCTATTTGGTTGTGTATGCCTACGTCTTTACCCCTACCGTCACCTCTACCTCTGCTTATCCTGCCGTGGGGGACGTTCTCTCTGTCGGTGTCTATATATATATATACACACACTTGTTGCCCCTTTCTCCTTCTCTCTCTTTCTCGCTCTCTCTTTTCTTGTTCTCTCTCTCTCTCTCTCTCTCGCACCACCCTCGGCGCCACAACGGGAGGGACGAGGCCCCGCCGCTGGGGTGCAGCGTTCAGTCCGCGGGGGCGCGGTAGCCTCACGTCGCCAGCCCGCGCCACAGGATGCACGCGGGGGCACGGCAGCCTCTCGCCACCAGCCCGCGCGTCCAGACGACTTGCTCGCAAGCCAAATCGCCAGGCACTCATCCTGTAGACGAGTAACCGACAGTGCTGTGCGAGCCCAAGAAGCGACGAGGACCCAAGACAGGGCACCGACAGGAGCGAGTGCTACGCACTCAGGGAACCCCAGAGGGGTTGCCCGAGTGCCCACAGGACGGCCCCGAAACGGCCGAGAAACACGAGCCGCATCCAGCAGGGCCGACGGCGCCTCAGAGTGCCGCTCCAAAATGGCCAGGCACCTAAGCGCACTCCCACTCACACTACCTGCCGCGCTTGACCTTCTTGAGCTTCGCCAAGCAGGACGTCGCTCAGCGCGAGACTGCTGGAGCTCCGCCTTGAGCTGAGCAATGCAGGCCAGTGTGTACCTCAGGCAGGCCCCAGAGGCGCGCCAGTCCCGCCAGTGCCACTGGATGCACCTGGCGGCAGCCAGCCTCCTGCTCACGTCCACGCGCGTGGCCACCTCCACGTGCCCACGGAGGACCACGAGACGGCGGGCAGGCGAGACGACGGGCTGCCCCCCAGCATGCGCGTCGTCCCCCAGCAGGGCGGCGGACTGCGCCAGGCACTCCGCGTCGGGCACGGCGTCGGTCTGCAGCTCCTTGACCGTGCCACCCCTGCTGCCAAAATCGACCGAGTCGGCAGCGCAGGCCGCGCCGACTGCACGATGACCATCTCGAGCTCGGCCCTCGTCGACACGGCGAGCACGAGCCCCAACATGCCCCCCACGAGGGGCACCGTGAAGATCGTCGTGATCTTCCGCCTCAGCCTCCAGCGCATCCGCAGCAGCATGCCGACCGCCAAGACCTTCCCCTCGCACTCCAGCACATCCTCGAAGTCGTCGCAGGCGCCTCCCGAGACGTCGCACTCAGGATCGAAGAAGGGCAGGTCGTCCTCGTCGCCGATGCCGCTCTCCACGCTCACGCCGCCAGACTCCCATCCAGCATCTCCAGGAGCAAGGTGTCCACCCTCCCCTACGTCCTGCACAGCCCCGCCATGTGGACCAGCAGGGACGGCATCGGACTCCAGGATGGTGTCGCTCCTGCCGAGCGTCTCGGCCTCCCACGCCCACCAGCGCGCCCCGCTCATCACCGGTGGCGGCGACAGCGCCGGGAGGGGGCTCGCCTGCCCGCGAGGCGCCGCAGGCACCCTGGGCGGCGGTGCAGAGGCGTCGCGGCACGCGGTGCCTGCAGAGGGAGGCGGTGCGCTGCGCGCAGCGCGGCCGCGCGTCGCCGCCACCTCCTCCCAGGTGCGCGCCTCGCTTCACGCTGAACTCGGTTGAGCTCCCGTTGCGGCATCGCCCGCACGTCCGCGGCGGGGAGCGCGGGGTGGTGGGAGACGACCACATTGCGCCTGCCCACCTCCATGGCGCTCGCGTCCGTGCCTGCGATGTCCGCCTCCAGCGCGGGCGCGACGAGCGCCAGGCGCTGCACGAGCTCAGCCGCCACGGCTTTCGGCTCGGGAGAACCGCCTGCGGCCCCCACGCCATTGGCGGCGGCCCCGCCGCTCGCGGGGGCAGAGGCGGCGCAGGAGGCAGCCAGGGCCGCGGCCTCGCCCGCCGCGACCGCGTGGCGCAGGTCGGCTTGCAAGCCCTCCACGAGCGCCTCGAGGTCGAGCACGCGCCGCAGCGCCGCCGCCAGGCGCCCAGCCGCCGCCCCACGGGCAGCGCCCTGCCTGGCACGCCGCATCGGCCACGGCGACGGCGCAGCCGCTGTAGCCTCTGGGAGCTCTGCCGCCGCTTCGGCTGCCCTGCTCCCGCCCGCAGCCATCCCCTGGGGAGCCATCGCACCGCGGCAGAGACCCAACGCTGCCGCCCGCCTGGCGGGCAGGCATGCGCCAAAATGGCTACGGATCCTCTCTCTCTCTGTCTCTCTGTGTCTCTCCCCTTTTCCTTTTATCCAACTACCTGCGGCAAACCCCGCCACCCTGTCTGTGCAAGAGCGCGGCAGGAAGGAGACTGAGTGTAGGCACTACGCACTTCCGACGACTGATCTGACTGGGGCGGGTCGTGAACTCGACCTCATTTTCGTCCGCGCTGTAGGGGGGACGCTGAGTTCACGCCACGCTGTAGTTTAACGAGCGGTTTTAATTGAGGCACGTGGTGCTTTTGACCTCATCTTCGTCCGCGCGGCAGGGATGGGGGGAGGAGGAGGAGGAGGAGGAGGAGGAGAAGGAGGAGGAGGAGGCGGAGGAGGAGGTCTGGAGATGGGGAACACGAAGATTAGGAGCAGGAGGCCCTTGGGCCGTCTCAAGGGGCTCTCAGCGCGTCTGACGTCTCCAGAAGCCGTCCTGAGGGCCTCTCGGTTCCGTCCTGGTGCCCTCCAGGGGATCTTTAGGGCCGTTGCGGGGCCCCTTGGACGACTCGTCGGTTATTCTGGGGTCCTCTTGGGCCGACTTAGGGCCCTCTGTGGGGCCCTCATTGGCCGTCTGGAGCTGTCTTGGAGGCCTCAGGCCTTCTTGGGCGGTCGGAATCCCATACAGGTGAGAACTTCAACATCTTTCGAACACCTGAGCAAACTCAATGTGCTTCGCCTCCTCGGGCTTTCCTCCAGGGCCTCTCGTTGCCCTCTTGGGAGCCTCTTGGGCCGTCGTGAGACCGTTTGGGAGCCTCTGATGCTGGCCTGGGCCATCTTGGGCCGTCTTGGTGTCATGTCGGCTGTCTTGGAAGCTGTCTTGAGGCCATCTTGGCCGTGCGGAGGTCGAAACGAGTGCCAGAAAGCAACTTCTGGGGGTGCGGTTTCAGAGGGACGCGCGCGAGCAGGAGGGGGGGGACTTAGAAGACACTGAACAATCTTCCAGACAACAAACGAGCAGTCTGACGCGCCACTCAGTGCAGGCACGGTGACCGATTACATTCTCTTTGCTCTTCTTTGTCTGTTTGGCTGCCTGTCCATCTGTCTGTCTGCCTCTCTCGTTCTCTCTCTCTCTCTCTCCCTCTTCCCCCCTCTCTTCCTCTTCCGTTCCCTCGTTCCTCTTTGCGTCTTCATCTCTGCGCCCCGTGCCCGAGTCTCCAGCTGCCCTCGGC